ACTTGTTAGCATATGAAGCTACCGAGCCCATAAAAACTGGCAACACCGTTCCTCGAGGCCACCCTTTTTGCTCCTTCCTCTTCGAAGACAGACCACACTGTGTCTATAGAGTGTGTGTCTACTTTTACTCTAACCTGAGCACCCACCCCCCACACTTTGTGGCCTTTCTCTTGCCTTCTGAAACATCCCACACTCTATGCAGTAGGTAACTCTCTAAATAAATCTATCCTTACTCAACTGTGACTCTCTCTTGAATTCTTTCCTGCACGAAGCCAAGGACCCACGCTTAGCAGGGCGCATCCCAGGGGCTCAACCGCGACCTGGGACACGGCCCTCCTCACGCCCCACACCCGTTTGTCCTGCATCAGGCAGACTATAAATTGGTGAGGGTAAAAGCAGACGTTTATAATCCCATAATTCAGTAGACTTGGCACTCTGAGAAAACTAGGGGAAAGAAAAATGCGGGAAGAGGGTCATCTCCTAAGACTGGTCTGAACTTCTGTGCCAAGATTCAACCAGTAACTGACTATGTGGGAGACATTTTACTTCATGTCCTTTTCTTCTAATATCTGTCAAAGCTCTGAAGTTTAACAGAGGCGGAAACAAGAACTGGCTCGTCAATAAAGATTAATAAAAGAATAAAAGTCACCGGCATAGCCACTGATCAAGTCAACAAATCAAATGATGTCTCTCTTGATCACCTTCCCAACTGCAAGAGTAACCTGGCGTGTGACACAGTTTAAATGAAGTAGCAAAAGAAGGAAAAAGCTTCAGGAAAGCAAGGGGAACAACAACAACGAAGACAAAACAGAGTGCCACAAAGCCACGGATGCTGTCCAGGATTTAAACAGCATTAGGACAGAATTAATCGGCTTTAGAAAACATCTGTAATAGCTCCACATGAGCAACGGTGGAGGTGCGCTGCCACTTCAGACGTCTAGGCCACGGTTTGAGCGTGAACAAGTGTCACATCCCAGCGAAAGCAAGGTAAGGAGAAGAGCTGAATCTCTACATTACCAGAAGCCAAGGGATTTAAAGTTAAATTAGACTGGAGAAAGAGAACCAGAAACTGATTCCAATTCTAGAAGAGAATCAATGTCTCACATAAAATGTCCTAGGCTAAGTGACAGCCCACAACTGGACTCAAACAATGCCAACATCCACAGCCTATCACGAAAGTGTCCATTATGTTGACTGAGTACCACTTATTTGCCAGGCTCTGCTCTAAGCATGTTCCCATACATGCTCAGGAATCCTCATGGTAGGATCCGTTACAAACAAAACAAAATTAAAACTATTCTTTATCAAGGAAGAAGAACCTGAGGCACAAAGTTGGTAGCTTTTCCAAAAGCACAGAGTTTGGAAAGCATCTGAACAAGCTGAAGTCAGGTACCAGCTCTAAGGCAGTGCCTCCTGTTGAAGCAGCCATATTGGTTGTGTCCCTCACCTATTAAGATGTTTTGATAAGATGGATACTCTTTTTTTAACACCAGCCAGAGATTCATGGTTATTTTCAGATTAAAAGTTTCAAAAAGAATTCCTAGTTTTTCCCCAGGGCCCCTTCCTGGCTCAATTACTTGTATCCATTCTTTTTCCACCATTAGAATAATGAAGGCATAGCATGGGGCCAAGAAAACAGTTCTCAGTAATTGCCGACAATCAATGAATATAATAGGTGTTCAATAAGTGCTCACTGAACTGAATTCAGTGGAACAAAAAGAAAAGTCTCATCATTTGCATAAAAAGAGCAGAGAGGTAGGCTAATAAAACACCATTCCATATCCCAAAGGGAGGAAAAATAGTTAAAGGTTCTGAAATCCACCCCCCAGGCTCCAATATTAAGTAGATACGATCCATCATACTGTGTACAGCCCAGTCTGTATCACTCCTCTCAGTTTATCTCCACCAGCATCTCACTTTTCTCTTTTTGGCTACATCCTTCCTTCACTGCCAGTGGGGGTAGGATGGCCATTTCAAAGGAAGGGAACCAGGTCATACATAACTGCTGCCCCTTTCCATCGGGACCATTCTCCCACCCTTCCCAGCGCTGGATCAGGAGATGAAGACCCCGGCTGGAGTGGGAACATGAAATGCTCTTCCTCTGCCTTGACCTCGGCTGTCCTCCTCAAGATGCAAACTCCCAGGAAGGCGTGAAATTAGCTCAGCTTGTCAATCAGGGAGACTGGCTGGACTCTGGATAAATTCTATCAAATGGAAATGGGAAGAAAACTTTGGAAAATTGTACTAAATGAGGAACTTTTCTCTGACAGCAGGAAACGTGCCTCTAGTGACTTCTCACTGGAGTGAAGGTTCCCCCATAGCCCCAGTCCTCACTCCTCTGGAGAAGAAAATGAGAAGGCAGGGCCCCGGGCCATCCACGCTAGAAACACACCCAAGGAAATGCTACAAAATCCATTTGCCAGCAGCCTGCTAATCACACACCCAACTCCCAGGGCTTTTAATTTCCAAGAGGTATTTTAACTCTCATTAACTCTGCAGGTTCCCTTGATGGCCCTGGGGTGGCAGCCATGGAGCAAATTTGTCAAAAAAAAAAAAAAAAAAAAAAAAAAAAGAAGCCTGACTGGATCTTGCAGAGGGATGAGAAGTAAGGATGAAGGAGAGGGACAAACCCACAGATTCCGGGGCCATGTGCCCTAAAGTCATACAGGTTTGGCCTCCATCCCCCTAAAGCTGTCCTAGTCACATTATACCAGAGAGGAGAGGTACCTGAATCCTAACAAGGAAAGAAACACTTCCTTGAGCTTCCAGACGGAGGCATTCTCCTTTCCGCATGGCATCACCAGAGAGCGCTTACTAACTACTGGTCAAACAGCAACAGCACAAAAAAGCAGGGGAGTGAATACAAAAGAAACATCAACCAAGAGCCTGCCAAGTGCACATCCTCAGAAACTAGTCAGCATCCGTTTCATAAGCCCCTAGGACTGTCCCTGTCCATGAGGGATGGAGGAGGAAGCCAGTGAGGTTTCATTCCCTACTCAGTTCCTGCCCTGTAGTTTCCAGTTGGCCCTGGAAAGTCTTTACCCCACCCCACCACTTGACTTCCCAAAAGGTGAAATGGAAATTACTAAAGCATGTCACAAATTCCTTGTGGTCTATAAAATGTTCTGCAACTTAAAGAACAAACAAACAAACAAACTTCTAGTTAAATTAAAGGGTACAAAAGAAAATTAAGCTCAGATTAAAAAAGGGAGGCGTGAATAACTCACACTGTAAATAACTAACTAATTCAGCCAATAAATATGTGAAAATATGCTCAATATCACTAATCATTAAGGAAATGCAAACCACAACCAGAGTGAGATACCACCTCACACCCACTGGAATGGCCTTTCAGAAAAAAGAAACAAAAAACAAAATCAGACAGTAACAAGTGTTGGTGAGGATGTGGACAAAGTTGGAATCCTTGCACAGTTGATGGGAATGTAAAATGGTGCAGCTGCTGGAGAAAAACAGCTTGGCGGTTCCTCAAAAAAATTAAAAATAGAATTGCTGTCGGATCCAGCAACTCTCCTTCTAGATCTATACCTCAAAGAATAGAGAGCAAGATCTCAAAGAGTTACGTGTACACCCATGTGCATAGTAGCATCATTCACAATAGCTAAAAGGTAGAAGCAACCCCAGTGTCTACTAGACGGATGAATGGCAATAAAATGCAGTCTATCTATACAACAGAATATTACTCAGCCTTAAAAAGGCTATTCCGACATATGCTACAACATGGATGAACCATGAGTACACCATGCTAAGTGAAATCAGCTGATCACAAAAAGACAAATACGGTATGATTTCACTTACAGGCGTACCTGGACTAGTCAGAATCACGGAGACAGAAAGGATGGTGGTTGCCGGTGCTGAGAGAAGTGAAGAATGTGGAGTTATTGTTAAATGGGAACAGAGTTTCAGGTTGGCAAGACGCGGAGTTCTGGAGATGGATGGACAGTGGTGATGGTGCAGTGGGAGTGTACTTAATGTCACTGAACTTGACACTCGAATGGTTAAGTTGGCAAATCTGGTAAAGTGTATTTGACTACACTTTTTAAAAAATTGGGGAAAAATTAAATAGTTAACTCAGACTTTTTCCCTCCAGGGGGGAAAAAAGTCATCCTACAAAGAGGCTGAGGAAAGTGATGAAGAAGGAAATCATAGGTCCTTCATGTAGAGACAAGACTTTTTTTTTATGTTGATATATTATTGCGGTTTCTTTTCAGAGACATCAGTTGTACTGATTCAACTGATTAAATTCAACACAACTTCAAATTACATGGAGTCACTCTAGACAGTAGCATAGCAAGAACTGTCAGAGAAAATCCAACTCTTCAGCTCTTTCAAACTTTCGCTTTTTTTTTAAGTCCTAGAAGAACTGTTCAAATTAAATAGTATGTGAAACTTTACTATTGAAACATTTTTTAAAAAGCTGTTTTTCTGTGTGCTGCTGCTGCAAGCCTCAGCTGTCTGTGGCCGGGAACCTGCTGGGGGTCTGGGGGTGCTCGCCTGCAGCAGGACTGGGTCCACTGGTCTGGCTCTGGGAGGAGGCAGAGCCCCTCTGCCATGAGGTGGCCTAAATTCACATCTGGCTCTACCCCTTAGCTGTGGGAACTTGCCCAAGTTACCTCCCCTCTCTGTGCCCTCTTCAGGGAAAACAAAATTAATTCCAAGGGCTACGTGAGACTGTTCACAGATAATACACATTTCCAAGCTTTTCAAATTCCAGGTTCAGAGACAGAGCAGACCAACCACACACATCTACCGCCCCCCATCCCCTGAAGCCACCAGCAGCTGCTCACCTCACTGAGGTAAATAAAAAAAGAGCAGGTGGACCCATCCACTCCATAGTCTGCGTAGCAGGGATCCGAGCGCCACATGTCTTTCATCCACTGAAACAAGCAGAGGGAGGAGAGAGTGAGAGCACGCATGCGCGCCGGGCTCCGTGGCCCTGTGCAGCTGCTGACAGAGGAGGCCAGGGCAGCCATGGAGGGGTGAAGGCTCAAGCTGTGGCCTAACACTAAGAGTCCAGAGCTGGAGGCAGGAGACAGACACTGGACGATCCTGACTCGAGCTGGGCCTCAGCAGAGGCAACGGGAGGAGCATTTCATCAAGAGCACGCGCCCAATGGGACCCTGGCACCACATCCCCTCCCCGGAGAACTCCAGCTGCGCCAGCCCCAGCGCGGGGCCAGGAAGGCAGTGCAGGACGAGGGCAGGAGTGCAGCGCGTGTCTGAGTGTCACGCGGAGGCCGTGTGAAAGCCTCAGAGGTTTGGTCTCATCATCCGAAGTGACACTTTTCTCTGAACACTGCTGAGCAGGGAAGTGGTCTCCCCATGGGCAGACCATACAAATAGGATTTAAAAAATGGTAAGGGTCAAAGAGTGGCCAAGAGTGCCTGGGCACCCAACCGCACATGCAAATGTGACATTTAAATCACAGTCTGCAGACCTCAGAGCTGAGGCCTGGGGGAGAGGAGTCGGATACTAAATGAAGGCAGCCCTGTGTCTTGGACCCTCGAAGGATTACCTGCTGGAGGATAGCAAAGAGAGGGGAGGGCGGCTTCAAAGACACAGCAGGTGCCTGAAAGGGCCCAGGTTCTTTTGGTCTAACCAGTTAGACACTGTGGCCTAACCCCAGGCAGCTGGCAAAAGCAGGGAAGGGTTGTCATGGCCACAGCCCCAAACTGGCAGGATTGAGGTGCCCTTTAAATGACTCCCTTAAAGGGCTTGCTGGCCCATCTGTGTTGCTGGGGAGGATGAGAGGGGAGGGGCAGGAGGGGACTGCTAGTGCAAATAAAGATGATGGAAATGAACAGATGGCACTTCTGCCTTACCTTGATTTTCCCCTCGCAGTGGGGGTAGCCATCCATAGGAGGCAATACGCATTTTTCTTGAGCCCCATTAATGATATCTGAAAAGGAGGAAAAAGAACAAAGGATACCATGAAGTTTACTGCGAGCGAGGGGAGAAAAGCAGAGAGGTCTGTCCTGGATCCCTGCTCTGTCCCCACCAGAGGGCAACAGTTCCGACTGGTCTGCGGTGAGAACTTGACCCAGCCACAGGCCACCTCCAGGCTGGCCAGAGACCTCTGATGTGTGTGACCCAGCATGGAAGGGGGAGCCAGGCCAAACAGAGCGCCTGCTTGGAAATCTGGACACTGTCAAAGCAAACAAGTGGGAAGCAGGCAATGAAGCCATAAGATGAGGAGTATCCAGCAGATCGGCGAGGCCATGCTAGGCTAGTGGATAAACCGAAGTCATGACAGCTTCATGAACACATGTGCCTGTCACTTATTTGTAGAATCTTAAAAAGTGACACAAATGAACTTATGTACAAAACAGACACAGACTCACTGACATAGAAAACAAACTTGTGGTTACCAAATGGGAAAGGGGAGGGGAGGGATAAATTAGGAGTTTGGGATGAGCAGATACAAACTAGATAAACAAGGCCCTACTATACAGCACAGGGAACTACACTCAACATCTTTTAATAACCTATAATGGAAACAAGTCTGAAAAAGAAAAAAATATATATATCTGAATCACTTGGCTGTGCACCAGAAGCTAACACAATATTGTAAATCGATTATACTTCAATTAAAAAAAAAAGCCATGTGCTTGAGCCGAGGCAGCCTGCGGTGGGGACGGGGAACAGAAGTGGTGTGCAGACAAGCAGAAAGCCACGCGGCGCATCTGCAAGATGCAGCCTCTTACGGACCCAGTTCTTCAATTTCCACCAAGATCTCCTTGTTCCTCCAATCTTCCCTCCCAGTAAACTCCCTTTCTATTAGCTAGCCCAAGTAGAATCCTATTCCCTATAACTACAGAGTCAAAACTAAAAAGAATGCCTTCAAGAAGCTGATGGTTTAGGGATGGTCAACAGACAAATCAGTAAACAACTGAACAGCAGCGTCAAAGGCATTATGTTAGGACAGGGCAGGGGAAAGACACCCAGCCCGGTCTCTCAGGGTCAGGGTCAGAGAAGGCTTCCTGGATCCAGTGACATCTCAGCTGAGACGTGAAGACGAAGGAGTGAGCCAGTTGGAGGGACAAGGCAGAGATGGTGTTCAAGGAGCCATCCAAATGCAGGATATGGTCTGGCTGGAGTGAATTTGTGTGGGGTAACCAGAGGGGCCACAAGTATGGTAACAAAGGCTTTCGTCATCATGCTAAGGGCATATGGCCAGTGGAGCACTGAGAGGTTTTAAGGAGAAGATGGTTACGATCAGATTTTTGCTTAGGAATGATCATTTCAGCTGAAAACTAGGACAACCTTAAACCTACATACTTCTCTTTTTGGACCAACTATATTTTCCAGACATGCTTGGAAAATGTCACCATTACTCATTGCTGACAGTTTTCTATACAAAGTACTCATCAGAAATTAGATCCAAACTACAATATCATTTGACAGTGGAATTTAAACGATGTCAGGGTCTGCTGGGGCTAAAACAGAAGTCATTGCTATGGGGGATTTTAGTTGTACCCGTTTCTTGAAAAATCAGTTCATCTGGTGGTCTGAAACAGAGATTCTGGACTGCTTGTCAGTGTTTCCAGTGAGCGTTCCACTTGCTAAGGATACTTAAGAGTGTAAAAGCAAGATTCTCCTTATGATAGATTGGAGGCAGTGTCATTTAGTTGTTAACGTGGGAGACACTTAGCTTGTTGGAGATTATTTACCCAACTGTAAAATTAGAATAATTGTACCTCTGTTTCACCAAGGTCTTATTACATAAGTTAATATTTGTAAAAAGTTTGGTTTAGCATTCCCATCAGCTGATTCCAGAAATCACAGGTGTTTAGAAGTTGGCACTTGCTGTATTAATTCCACACAACTTTCATTCACTACATCAGGGAAAGCAATATTTCAAATGCGGAGCTGCTTCTGGAAATGTATTCTCCATGTTTTTGAAATAACTGCAGGCTTGAGTGCTGGATCTCCCTAAATCTCCCCTTCTCTCTCATTTGTTCGAGGACAGCCAGCTCCAGGAGCCACTACAAATGTGCTGCCTCTCCAGAGAGATGCTTTCCAATGACCACTATTTCCTATCGCAATTTTGTGCTGAGGTTTTTTTTTGGTGGGGGGATTAGATTTACGTACGTATGTATGTATTTATTTATGGTACTGAGGATTGAACCCAGCACCTCGTGCATGCTAAGCACCTGCTCTACCACTGAACTATACCCTCCTCCCTATTGCAGTTTAAAATTCCAGTTTTGGCAATACTTACACAAGCAAATAAGAGGCAGCAGAGGTTCCAAGAAATGAAGCAGAGTCTAAAACATCCAGGGGTTGGGGTAATCAGACATTTAAGGGATGCTACGGGGTAAATGCCCCGCTTTCTTCATACATGATAGCTACTATTCTAGTTCCCGATGTTCAGAGTCAGAAGTTACAGAAACTAGATGAGTTGGAGGTGTTGCTGGTGTGGGACAGAGAGAAATCACCAGATGACAAAATAAACTAACAGGTCCATGAAGGTCTGCAGGCAACGTCCAGTTGCTGATAACATGGGTCCTCTTCATTAAGAATTTAAAGGAATAAAAATATGTTACGTCAAGAATCAGCAAATCTTTTCTGACAATAAATATTTCAGGCTTTGCAGGACACATGGTCTCTGTTTGCAATCACTCCACTCTGGGTTGCAACAGGAAAGCAGCCGCAACAATAGTGGGTGGAGGTGGACGTGGCCATGTTTCAATAAAATTTTATTTACAAAAACAGGCGCAGACTCCTGTGTTTGCAATGCTAATAGCGCCCCTAAGTGAGGATCCTCGCTTCTGCAAAGACCTGTTGAACTGGCTTTTTAAAGGACAACTACAGGCATTGCCCTGCTGGAAGTGCCCTTCCTTTCACCGCTCCACCGTTTCTCCACACACTTAAAGCCCCTCCTCCTTTAAGACCCAGGTCCAGCATCACCCACTGAAGACAGTCCCAGTCCTTCCTTCTCATGCTGAAATACTCAATCAGGATTGAGTTAGGACTGAGGGCTGCCCTCCTGCTCTTGTCTCTCCCATCACAGTGAAGGATCCTGTTATGTTTACATCCGCCTCCCCTCCTAGGTTGTGGGAAGGCTGCATCTTTCCGCTCCATCACCAGGCACTTAGTGACTGCTGCTGGAGTGAATAAACACACACGTGTTCCACCTGCTTTTTGCAGGGCCGGACACTTCAGCTCAGGGAGAACTAGGCTCCGCCAAGACCCCCGCTAGAACAGCGTTTTTCTTATCTTCCAATCAGCAGTGTGTGAGCTAATCCAACAGGGTCTCTCCCACATTTCTACAATCTTATGAGGAATTTTCTCACTATTTTGTTACCCAGTGATTGCTCTGAACAGACAGTGGCTTCCAAAAGTGTAGTTCAATGGCTTGAGGTTCTGGGGTAGGAAGGATCTGAGAAAGGGAAGTGCCTGACTTTCTTTTGATCCTGGAGCCGAGCTGCTTCCAGAATCCAACCACCAGGAAGGAACCTGATCAAGGCCCTCCGTGACATCCCAGCCCCTGTGGAGTTTCAGCACAGCCTTACAGGACAGCTCCCTATGTTTTCATCCAAGTGACAAAAACGCAATAAATCATGTTTTTACTAGTTTGTGTCCACAGAAGAGTTTTCTACCTGTGCAAGAGCCTCCAATCTAAGGTTGGTTAAAAAAACAAAAATTCAGGCCAAAAAATGGTTAATGTGATGGCTTTTTAGGGGGCAGTGAGCTTACTGTACCCGAGGCCCTTCAAAAAAGGAGACAGGATTCTGCTGAGATATGTTACTTGAAAGTTCTCCCTGCTGTCCACCCCATCCTCCCCCACATGTCCAATTTTTTTTTTTTAACGGCGAAAGGGCAAGGGGGAAAAAAAAACGTTCATGTAACAAAGCAGCTCGGCTCTTACTCCAGCTTAGGATTCAGTTTCATCTCTCACCCTCATCCACCGGCCCATGTTGGATCTTGCCCTGAGAACTTCACCTCTGATGTGATTCTATGGTACCTACCGTCAATCAGGTATCACCCAAGAGGCAGGTGGGAAAAATTAGTCTAGTAGGGGCTCGAATATTAGGGTTTCATCTGAGAGGACACTTTTCTTATTATCAAAAATGCTGACAACTCAAGAAGAACATACATACAGCACCAGCAG